ATTAACATTTCTGTAGACCTGATTGACACTTTGGAAAGTTTGGATTACACAAGCTAGCACTCCACATAAGCACTGCACAGTGCTCTAATGCTCTCCATCTCCACTGGATGCCGCGTTTGCTTTTCCGCGTGCACTCGATGGCACCCCATGACTGACTTGTTCCTCAGACATGTAGCTACATCCATGCAGCATGGTCACTGAGACTGTTTCTGGACCAGATCGATTCTCTGATTCTCTCCCTGCCTGAACCATACCTTTCTTGCTGGATTTTCGACTCTGCTGCACTTGTGCGACAATATCTAGCTGCTGCTAATCAGTTTTAATTTTCTCAGACATATGTCCGTCGTGCACACTGCACTGCAAACAGATCTCATGCATCGTCTGTTTGCTGGCTTATCAGCCACAAACAAAATTTAATTTTAAAAGTTATGTTATGATTTTTTTTCACCGTAGTAGCATCTTTTTTTCAGCCTTATTTTTAAGCCATGAATAGTATAGATATAAGAGATTTATTTATAAATTATTTTTGGTTGCTTCTTTCATTTCGCTACGACTCATCATCAGCCATAGCTTAACAAATTGGGATTTTAATCTCCTGTTTGCATCATTCATAACAAGTCAGAATATGTAGTAGCAAGTACTTTATGTAGTACTTTACCGGTCTTGTTCTTTTCTCTTTTCCACTGCCCTTTTGGAGTAAGATGCCAACGATTTCAGGCTCTGAAGAAAATAGAAAAAGTCCAGTTAGCTAGCCAGTACCAGCAGCTAAGCAGGAGATGTCTGAATCGGTGTTCCCTCCTGGCTAATCTTTTCTGAGCTAAATCTACTATGTAATATCCTAGCTCCCGTTAATTAGTAATCCCTCCGTTTTGTTTTATATTATAAGTTGTTTAATATTTTTATAGTCAAATTTTATTAAATTTGACTAAGTTTATAAAATTTAGCAATATCTAAAATATTAAATTAGTTTCACTATACCTAACATTAAATATATTTCGATAATATATTTATTTTGTGTTGAAAATGCTATTATATTTTTTATAAATTTAATTAATTTTTTTAAAAAATTGATTAGTAAAAGATTTAAATGATTTATAATATGAAACGGGAGGAGCAGCTTGTAGCAGCTAAATACTCTGGCTAGGTTAGCTTGTTCTAGGTCCCAGCTGCAGAGGTATCGCTGTCATTGGGTGATTGGGATTGGACACCTTCCAGATCGAGTCGCCGGCTTAAGCGCAGCATCCATCTCGTCCTCAGTTAATATATACTCCATCATTTTCTAAATATTTAACACCGTTAATTTTTTAAAATATATTTGACTGTTCATTTTATTCAAAAACTTTTATAAAATATGCAAAACTATATGTATACATAAAAATATATTTAACAATAAATCAAATGATAGGAAAAAGAATTAATAATTACTTAAATTTTTTAAATAAGATGAACAATCAAATATGTTTAAAAAGTAAATGGAATCAAACATTTAGGACGGAGGGAGTACTATACGTATACATACATACATACACATCAGGGTGATCAATTCAAGCAGTTAATGCTAATTATTCCCCATGATTATTCAGCGTTCGCGAAAAATTCCCCACGATTAATTCCCACGTTTTTTAAAGCCAATGATCGCCTCTTTTTTAATTCCGTCCTATGCCCTGTTCCTTGGTGTTAATTGCATGACGTCACTCAATCATCTCCCCAAGTTAGTTTATCTATCCTGCCTCCAACTGCCATGAAATTGCATTGCATGCATGCTCTCATCAATCCTGTCCTGACCTGGAGTATTTATCTCTAAGCCAATCATTTTAGTTAACTGCAACTCGCACAAAGAATACTGCTATATCACACAGAAACAATATCCATATCTCTCTCTCTTTTTTTTTTACCATCGCCCATGTATTTGCTTGTGCCTACCTACCTGTAGTCCTGCATCGATCAAATCTATCGCCGACCATCGTCTACTTTAATTCCCAACATATATACTTTTGCATAGGCTCATACTCATACTCAAGTATATAGTAATTAATTAAACATACATGCCGCTTTTATTAATTATTCTTGCTGTGTATAGCCTAGATCGAGATGGATATTTTTTCTGCACAAGGTACTTAGCTATATAGAGATTATTAATGAGAAGAGTAGATTATTAATTGATGATCAGGGGAGGGATGTAATAACTTAATTAATTTTTGGATAATTAAGCCGCAACAACCATATGCATGTACGACGCAGCTAGCATATGGTACATGTACTTTTGATATATACTGATCACGAATACCCGTACTGTACTTTTTTTCATCTCAAAAAAAATTACACGTACTGTACTTGTACACGTACTGTACATATCCTCCTTTTATTCCGTCGCATAAGTCGCATCCCACTGTTTTGGAATAGGTACTTAGCTATAATTAATTAATATGTAACGTATATATAGCTCTAGCTGCGTATATACGCATGTGCCCTAATGACACACACACGTACAGTACTACTGCAGGAGTTCGTCAGTTTTTATACGCCAGAGAGCACACGACAAACACGGCAAATATACGTATAAAGTATTATTATACATGTACACAATGATTGTACCTCGCATTTCTCGATTGATGATGATGAAGAACTTGAATTGATCATCAACAATACACCTGTACATTATGCACTGCTACTACTTCAATTAGAGAACGTTTTGCCGTCGTGATATCATTATCATCTGATTCAATTTAATCGGCAGTACAGTGTACAGACTACAGAGAAGTACAGAGATCGATGCAGGCTGAACAGACATTATTTCTGACATTATCTCCGTCGTTCCTTTTCTTTCGACATGCCTGTACTACCTCTACCGTTTGTTTAATATAATCATCTCTCTCGTCGCTTTCTGGTCTTGGAGTAGAAGAAATAATTTCCGATTCTCTCATGATTAAATTCGCATCAAAATGCATGATCGATCGATCAAGCGGTGAAGCAGCGTACGGTGATTACCTGCAGCTAGTTCCTGACAGCCTCTCTCCCTGCTAATTATCGGTAATCAAGCTAAGATACGTATACCTTGCTTAAGATGCACGTACTGTTAGCTAGTAATAATCTCCACAAGTTGAGAATGCACGGGACATTTGTTTGCATATACATGTTAAATTTGCTTCTTTTTTTCCAAATAATCTTGAAATTCGAATTAATAAATACAAAGTTGTATTTAGTTTGTAGTCGTAGTCCAAAATTTATTATTCCTATTTTAATGGTTTAATATCTTTAAAATTTAAAACAAACAAACAAATAATTCTATTTTACAAGCTCGAACTATTTTATGGATCGTTTAATCCCTCCCTGAAAAAATATTTTTTCTCATATTTGGCCTAAACTACTAAACTGGTTCACTTTACTCCCTAATAACATTTCTCTTTTTTTTATTTTTATATAAGTTATATTTTAAGTTGCAATTTTATAGTGCCATAGATAACACCACTATGAAAGTTCAAAAGTATTTTTAATTTTCTTCATGATTGTTTGCTTGGTTTTAGAATCTTGATGCTTAAATCAGCCTTAGGTGCTTCAGCCCTATGAAAACAGTGATAAAAATAAAAAATATATTGAGACGTAAGTTGCAATACATCGGTCATCATCCTAACATTTTTTTATTTACAAAATACGACTTATATAGGGAGAAAGAAAAGAGAAATATGTTAGGAAGTAAAGTGAAACATTTTTGATGGTTTGGCGGTGCGAATGAGATTTTTTTTGAGGGGCTAAGTGCTCCGCTGAAATAGTTTGAAGGGGTTTTAGAAAGAAAGAAATAATTTGAGGGGGTAGTCCAGCGAAATGGTTTTCATTACTTAATATGTGATTGTATTCGTCTTGATCTCTCGATTTTACTATTATAACAACTCCGAATTCTGAAATTAATAATTATCAAGTTGTAACTGATGTGGTCTCTTATGTTAGTTTGAACCATTTTATTTAGCCATACACCTACATAGGCGGTTCGCAAGTTGTATGTGGATGTAGACTACCTTATTAATCGTGCCGTTAATTTCTCTTTTCAATTACACGGAAGACGACACGCACACACAGGTTTAATACCTAGACTTGTTATCCATGATATTTCTTTGATCAACATGCTCGATAACTTCTCTGAATGTACAGTATACGCAAGCTAGCAAGTGTAGGCGGATTGATATATTCAGGGGCGCTGATCCTTGTTTTATCCTCCGTCTCGATATTTTTGTTGGCTTGCATTTTGCATAATTAATCACCGTCCTATACAGTACACTGTGTACCCATGTATGTACCTGCACTGTACAAACACAGTACACACACATAGATGCACTTACTTGTAAGCAAATTTAACAAGCTTAGAGCATAGACAGACAGAGAGACATGTAGAGATGCATACTAGAGGCCGGGATCGAGGAGGAGATGCTGTACGTAGGACGGATCAATAATTAAGCCTAGCTAAGCTGTGTCATATACGTATGTCCTCATCTTTTCGCTTATACTTGTCAGTCAAAATTTAAATTTTTAATCTTAAATTTGGATCTGGTTTTGAGGTTTTTTTTATCAAAGTTTATTTTTTAGCCTTTGATTTTTGATCGCTAAGAATATTATAAAAATTTTATTTAAAAATTATTTTTCATTTACAAATATGCCGTTTTACTTGTACCACGAATAACCGAAACGATGGCTCCCCGATCTTGCACGCGGTTGAATTGATATGCACACAAACACAATGATAATGGGCAGCTAGAGATCGATCGAGCTCGCGTTTTTTCCCCAAATGCGTCTCTATTGATAGTGCCATGTATGTTGCCGTTGTCGCTGCACTTGGGGGATATGTACATATCGATCGTCCATCATCAAGTGGGCCGGCCGTGGCGATGATCTTTCTTGCGACCCTGGATCTCCTCTCTCTCTCTCTCTCTCTGTCCTTCTTCTTCCTTGATTCCTCTTCCTCCCCAACCCCACCTGCCCTCCTCCTCCTCTTCTCTCCAGAGAGAGAGAGAGAGAGGTCGTCAGTGAATGCGACGTCGTCCGCGCACGCGTCCTCTCCCGCGTCCTCCGCCTCCTCCCGCGCGCTGCGTACGTGACAGCGCCATCTCCTGCTTGCAGCAGCTAGCAAGCAGCAGGCGCAACAGTATTACTGCAGATAGAGCTCTCGACCGATTGATCGATTGCTCACTGCCATATACATGATACTTACATACCGACGTACTACACACAGAGATAGAGATCGGAGCTATAGCTATTGCTATTGCTAGCCATAGTATAGTAGTACCCTTTGCTCCTGCTGCTGCTTTGTTGCTTGCTTCCCTACACTTCTCTCTCTCAGCTGCTAGCTGCGCATATAATTATTCCCTCGCCAAGCTATATATATTTGCCTCCTGCCTTCTTCCCGAGCTCACACAATCGCCAACCTATACAGATATATGTGCTAGCTACTTCCAAGTTCCTACCTATCAATTTCTCTCCTCCTCTTCTTCTTCTCTGCATCAATCTGCAGCTTAATTCTTAGCTATGTACATATAGCTAGCTACCACTTCCAAAATACTCCACAGAGATCAATCACATATAGATATAGCTAGATTGCTATAGACAGAGAGATCATCAAAGAAATTTAGCAGGTGATAGCCACATGGGGTTGAGGGACATCGAGCTGACGCTGCCTCCGGGGTTCCGGTTCTACCCGAGCGACGAGGAGCTTGTCTGCCACTACCTTCATAACAAGGTGGTGAACCAGCATCGCTTCGCCGGAGTTGGAGGAGCCGCCGCCGCCGGCGGCGGCACCATGGTCGAGGTGGACCTCCACACCCACGAGCCGTGGGAGCTACCAGGTAATCACTTACTCAATCAAAATTAATTAATTAATTACTACTCCTTTTTCCTCTCCCACAAGCGACCCTCTCACTAGCTCCAAATCATTTATAGCTAATGTAATAGTCAATTCATACAATAGTTGCTTACTGTACTATTAATACCTGGTCCTACCTGTCATACACATATTACGTCTTAGAGTCCGTGCTACAGCTGACTATATACCTATAGTCTCCTGCTCTTCTCTCTCTTCCTTTATCTTTTTAAAATATGTTTATAGCTGGCTTATAGCTTGCTATTGTACCTGCTCTTAGCCACGCGCCCTCTCTCTCCCCTCTTCTGCATGATTATGGTTAATTAAATCGTAGATGGTTCCTCCGTTTCCATGGAATGATTAATTACGCACGCAACCACGCTTTATTGGCTCCAATTAGGATTGTCGTTATTCTTCCCCCTTGTTAATTAACCAACAAGGCACGGGTCGATCCATCACGTATATCTCTGTGCGCGTATGTGCAACAGTGTGTTATATATTGCTTCTGGTGCAAGCATACATATACCTATATCTATAATTTATTTCTTTATGACTGCAAGTGGGCTATCTAAGCTCTAGCTATAGCTTGTTCTCTTTGTCTCTTACGATTACGATCAAATTTCCCATCAATTTTTATACATGTTTAAAATTTAACTTATTTCATTCCATATCAACATTTTCTTCAGGACATACTACTATATGTGTGCATAAACTCTCCTTAATTTCCCCGCGCGCCGGCCCATCCTATTCTCAAAAAAAAAAAAACTGAGAACAATAAAAATATACATAATATTGAAAAAGATTAAATTAACCGGTTTGTTTAATTTCCCTCAATCAAATCGATCTGCTTTCCAAAATTTCTGAATAATTAACGGTATTTCTTTACAAAACTGCAGGAACAAGTTTAATCAGAATCATATCGAACAATTAATCAAGTAGCTAGTATTATACCACATACTGAATATATTACGGTTGATCTCAGATTAGTCTAGATTAATCGAGTTGTGATGTGAAAAATTAATTATGGTGTGCATGCAGATGTGGCGAAGCTGAGCACGAACGAGTGGTACTTCTTCAGCTTCCGCGACCGCAAGTACGCGACGGGGCTCCGCACGAACCGCGCCACCAAGTCCGGCTACTGGAAGGCCACCGGCAAGGACCGCGTCATCCACAACCCCAAGCTGCACGCCGCCGCCCACCGCCGCGCCTCCATCGTCGGCATGCGCAAGACCCTTGTCTTCTACCGCGGCCGCGCCCCCAACGGCGTCAAAACCAACTGGGTCATGCACGAATTTCGCATGGAAAACCCTCACACCCCTCCCAAGGTTAGTCCTCACAATCCAACTAATTTCTCCAATAATTTCCTTACTCCTTTCATCCTCAAATAAATAAAATCCAGCACGGGTTATGGTAAGACCTGTTTAGTCAAACTGTTTTAAGTTTAACCAAGTTTGTAGAAAAAATAATAATATTTTTAACCCATGACAAATTTATTAAGAAAATTAATTCAATTATTGATTTGATAAACTAATTTAGTATCATAAATATTACTATATTTATCTATAAAATTAGTTAAACTTGAAATAGTTTGACTTTATTAGAGTTAAAACGTGTTATAACCTGAAGGAGTATAGTAGTAACTTTTGGTTAATCAAGAGCTTGAGTTTGTGTGTTTAATTTTGCATATGTGTATGCAGGAGGATTGGGTGTTGTGCAGAGTGTTCTACAAGAAGAAGGCGGAGACGGAGACGGAGTCGTCGTACAGCATGGAGAACGAGCAGGAGGCGGTGATCGCCATGGCACGGAGCGCCGCGGCCATCAAGGCGGGTGGATGCTACTCCAACTCCTCCTCGTCTCACGACCCAGCCGCCGCCGGCCATCACTCGCCCCCGCCATTCCCGGCGTCGCTCGCCGCCTGCAGCAGCAGCCACCACTACAGCAGCCACCCACCGCCGCCTCCCGATCACCACCACCACCACCACATGCCCGTCACCGGCGGCGGCGGCGGCTCCCTCAACGAGTTCATCCCCACCACCAGCATGGCGCTGTACAGCAGCATCTTCGACTTCAGCCAGCATCTCGACGGCGGCGCCGTGGCGGCGTCGGCGTCGGCGGCGGGATCGAGGGTCGACGGCGGCGAGCAGTGCGGTCTGATGGAGCTAGGGCTCGAGGAGCACTACAATTACAACGGCCTGATGCCGATGTGACGATCCACCATAGGTGTCGGTGCTGCTAGTGCTAGCTTAGCTAGCTTACACACACTCCCAGCTGCTAGCTAGCTGCAGTTCTGCAGCGCAGCTAGCTAGCGTTTATTATTAATAACCTCTTTTCACCTCGATTGTTTGATCTGATTTGTTTCGTGGTGATCGATTCCATCGATCAGCTTGTGCAGATTTCGTTGATTGTGCATGCAAACATGCGCACCTGTGTATAGGGTATAGTGGTACGTCGTATAGCGCTGTTGCATTGTTTGGAGGTAAATTATATATCTTAGCCTTTAATTTGATTGAGATTGCAGTAGTAGCAGACGTCGTCATGCATGTGTACATATAATGTATGAATGATCAGTTTCTGTTGATGGGTGGATATATTAATGGAGTACTTAATTTGGAACCCTTTTTCTAGTCCTTTGCTGTATCTTTCAGTCTGTATCAGTGTGGAAGCTTCAAACTTCACTAACTGATCCATACAAATTAACAGCTGCAGGTAGTTAATATTAGCTACCTGGTTTTAGTTAATTATATATCCTAGTACATAAGAGAGCTAGTTTTAGTTCATTGCTGTATCTGTGTGGAATTTTCAAACTTAACTAACTGATCCACACAAATTAACAGAGGAACTTAACCATCCTACATAAGAGAGCCAGCTAGTTTTATACACGTAATTGTAGAATCATCAACAATTTGCCCAACATACTGCTGTAAATATGCAGTGGCCATTAATATAGGATCTAACCCACAATTGACTGACAACCCCAGCAAGGTAATTAAACACTGTTAGGAAGGAGTTGAGAGGAGGGAAAAGTGGAAGATTGAGAAGATACACAAAATAAGATGAACCATATTAGCGTATAATTAATTAAATAGTTAATTATTTTAATTTTAAAAATGGATTAATATGATTTTTAAAGCAACATTTCTATTGAAAGTTTTTAAGAACAACACATCATTTATTAGTTCGGAAAAGAAAATGTATGAGGTAAATCTTCTCCTCTCAATATCATGTGAACAAACACAACCTATTCATTACTTCAACCGGCTTATATGCCAACACTCACCTCTACGCGAGGTTCCCTCAAACCTCGAGACGAGACTGAAATAGAAATGAGCTACAATTATTGATTTAATTGTGCATCTGACATGATTTGAACTTCAGATTTTCGGTCTCGCTAACATATTGAGTTACGTACACTAACTAATTCAACTTAAAAGCTTAAGCTGATAAAGAAAATAAACAACAATCATCGAAGGAGCAACAGTATGCAAGCTGCTAAGTCAGGAGAATCATATCAGTCTTGCTGCTGCATGCATGTGGGTGCAGGCTGCCTCTTGTATGTCACACAACAGTAGTACTGAACGAAGCACACACAACGACCCAAGCCGGCCATTGTCGTCTAGGTTCGTTTGTTCTCTTTCTCGTTAATTTCTGTGATATGATCTGATGTCTTGTCCTCCATCGGCGCCGGGGCCCCTATCTCGCAACGTCCATCCATCACCACGCTTTCTGAATGCTTGTTTTGGCAGTTAGCTAAGCTAAGGGCACAGGGATCTCATCATCCATCAGATGCTGCCTAATTGTGCATTGTGCACTGAAAATTAAGTACATGCAAATTGATTAATTGCATGTCAAACAGTGCTTCTGCTAGCTTAATTTCTATGGTCATAATAAATAGCATAGCATCTAGAGCAGGCAGGACCACTACTAACTTTTTTTTTCTGAACGATCATGCATGTGTGTTCCCCTACACATTGATCGTTTGCTGCTTAATTTCTTACATATATATCATGTATAGATTGGGTAGGACCACACACTATACTAATGCAAGCATACATGTATGCATCAGAAAAAAAACATTTGTTTTTCATCAAGGAATAATTAGACCACTGATCTTTATGGAATCTTCTTGAGGCATATATGCATCATGAAGAGTGTGCAGCTTTATGTTTATTCACAATCAGAAGTACTGGTCCTGATGTTGACTCTGTGCATGATTGTAAACTGATTGGTTTTGAGATATGGATATATCGGATGGATTGCAATATATATGTGTGTTTAATTAGCAAAACGGGTGGATTGCAATATCGATTTGTTCGGTTCAATTTAATTTGTCGTCTCTGCAGCAACCAATTTGCTGTGTGCATGTGACGAGTTCATGCATGCAGACCTGTACTGTTGATCGAAATCTGGTCGCATGCACTTAAGAAAGAACAAATTATCTATGGACATGACCACATATCATTTCTAAATGATATATTACACAAACAGTATACGCAAGACACGCAGAGCATAGCTAATCTAATACTAATTGCAGATTAGTTGCTGTCTTGCTGATCATTGGCTGTGTCGATTGGTTACGTCATCCGGTTACTAAATTAACAGCAGCAAAGTTTGGTCGGTTACGTGGCCTCTAACTGATAGATATATAACATGGGATCCCCTTGACCATTTTAAGATAAGGAAGATATAGTTATATCCTCTATCTTTGAATGTAGGATACACACAACCATAAAGCTAGTTTGAGTTAAAAAAAATAATCTCAGTAAGAAATAAAACCCGTCCCCGGCCATGAGATAAAAAAAATGTACAAAGTAGGAGCATATAAATTATGTATATATATAAATATTACGTTAAGTACAAAAGCATAAGTATGAACTGTATTAGAATCCTGTTATCCAAAGTGGATAAAAAGGTCCTTGACGATCAATTCCAAAAGTGTGGCAAATATGTTGACCTAAAGTAGAAGAGAAAATTAATCCACGAAGGAAACTAAAAGAGAATTTGCTATCTAGCTTGAAAATGCGTACACAGTGTTATTACGTACAATACGTACATGAGCTATATCGAGTACGTGATGCATACATGTATATATATTCAAATGGCATGTGCATATATTGTTAATATTTACCTAACTAATTCCATCAGAGACGATATTGTAAAGTAATTAAAACATGCAGCTAATGGACCGACTAATATACCGCGTTTACTTGATGATTAATTATTTATCCCCAACTTGCTTGCTTCTAGCTTAATTGACAATTGCAAGCTCTAATGATCGACCATGTATATATATGTGTGTATGCATGCATGACCTAGCTAGCTAGCTAATTAATTAGTTTATCAGCCTAGGTACATGCTGTTCCGAATGTATTAGCTATAGCGCAAGTGTCCTTTCAATATAACAATTAACCGAGATGTTTGATTAGAAGCAACTAATCTGAGCACACTGGATATATATAGTGTACTTATACTATATTGCAGTGATGAGTTAATTTGTAATTAAGTATTCAATCCCTTCCATAGTTCCATATAAATTATTAAATTAGCATAGTAATACAAAAATGCCGACAGAATGTCCAGCATGCAGTAGGTGCATGCATGCAGATCAGGCCATATGCATGTGTCATCCCCTGTTGCTTAATTATTTTGCCCATTGCTAAAGCTTCACTAGTTTGGGATAGCTTTCTTATATATGTTAATTACTATACTATTTACCGTTAAAATCAAGTTCTGGCCAGATTGAATTTGGCCGGTATGCATGCGTATGTATATGCATGCTGAGGATGAGGATGAATTCTAGCTAGCTAGCTAGCTGCTGGAAAACAAGTTGGTGTGTGGATAGCTGCTGTTTACACGTAACTACGTCATTCTGATCTGTGTCGACAGTTTTAATTTCTACTTGATCGATGCTACCTGGCTTAATTAGTTACCATCAATCCTTCATACCGTAGTTGTAGTTTACATATAAATTATGAAGCAATGTAGTTTAATATGATAAAGCTAGTTTAGTTTTATTATATGTTGAATCACCATAGGTGTGGTAGACTGATGAGCAGTGCCTTAATTGGATAGTAGTACCGAACTAGCACACTGACTACGTAACGTGATATGATCTATATAAAAGGTAGGTTTAACTAGGTAGTAATTAATTAATTAAGCTATTGCTCCTATACAGATGGCGGCCATACAAAAGCTATCTAACTTTTGCTGAGATCCTTTGGAGCATTTTAATTTATACTGATAGAAAATTTTGTACTGATAGAAAGATCGAGTTTGGACGTACTATCGGTTTTTAATGAATGACGCAATCAATTTTGATATACATTTGAGGATTCTTCTTTTTAATCTTTTTACTTGATTAATATTTATTTTTCTGTGAGTACTTGTTTAATTTATCACTAAAGGTTCTTAACTACGATTTATATTTTTACATATTTATACAAAACTTTTTAACGAGATGAATGGTCAAACGTTTTGCGTATTTGAATAATACCAATAATCAAACTTATTTAAAGTCAACGGTATCATCTATATTATCTAAAATCAGAGAGAATAATTAATACCAGCCCGGCGAAAAAATAATAATTAATAGCAAAATATATACAGTAATGCTAAGCCAGAACAAGAGGATTGGGACCTTGCAAAGCCCTGTTGTTAATTAGCATGTCACCCTAATATAAATGTAGTACTTTGCTCACTGTTCCTGTCGGGATCAAGATTTGTTTAACTAGAAGGTACTGTTCATGTGTACCTACAGTACTGAGTATAAAAGTGACACATGTCCCAATTTGTTGCGTCTCGCTGCACGTAATTTAATTAAGCAGCGTAGTCGTTGCTAGGCGTTTGGACAGAAGCAGAAAGAATAAATCTAAGCCAAAGATATGATTTTGGTTGCCAAACCAAGCAAAGGATCTGACGCTCGAATCTCGATCGATCGGCAACAAATCTAGTGTGTTATCATTTGGTGTTAATTATAGTTTGCTTCACTGCTCTTCGGCTTACCCATTTTCAGAGGAAAAACAAACAAAACGTTTAGTTCGCTTCTAAGCTTACACAGCCGCGATCAAACGTACGCTGCACTCGATCGTAGAGTTTTTTCCATACATGCATGGGGGGATGGCATGGCAAATATAGTGTTACATTTTTGCTTTCTTTTGTTTTTAACAACCCAGTATCTAAAGTGCACCAAAATATTGTTAAATATACCAGAGAAAAATAAGATAAACAAAGCTAAAGGATAAGTTTTGAGAGTAATTTTGCTTTTGCTAGGGCTCAGGTTTTAATTAGCATCCTCCTTAACTTTCGCTGCTAAAAATTCGTTGCAAGTTTTCTAACACTATATATGATTTCTTTTCTTCTAAATTTTTCATACCGTAAATAGGATAGAGATGAGAGAATGGACTCTTTTTTCTAATCTCTTGCTGGTGGCAAGCGTTGTCCAATTCATGGACTGTTGTAGTTATAGTACTTCGTATTACCGGTTTGATCAGCTCTAGGTTATATTATCGATGTTACGCTTGATAATACAGTGATATGGGGACATGGGGTGTATGATTTTAATCTTGAGGTTTCGTGTTTAATTCTTAACCCGTTCGTAATTTCTTCTTTGAAAATGTTCGGAGGGCCG